TATTATTATAACTTAACTAAATAACCTAACTACTATACACTATATATATATATATATATATATATATATCCTGGCTTTGGCATTTCGGACAAATTTGAAGTGTGCGAAAAATTGACGATATCTGTGAACTTCCTCACTGTGTCATGATGCGCAGGCGGTGGCAGATTGTAAGTCATGGTAATCTTATGACAATGCATTGAATATGAATCCGCAATTAACAACACGAAGGTAAAATGTAACTTTTAGTAAAGGAAGCGAATAGTGAACTGAAAACGAATAAGAAGTCTTGAAAGCATGCAAACTGCATTGTAATAGCGCACTAACATAAAAGCCGTCCAGTACTTATATATATATAATACTTCCATATCCTCATACGGTACTGTGATGGCCCCTGGAAGATCTGATCGTGCAAACCCGAAATGTTACTGGAAAAGCTCCTGCCTACGCAAAAGTGCTGACAATGTGGGTGTCCGACTGTGTACAAATAAACTCGTGTTTGAGGGGTACGCTAAGCAATAAAGGGTGTGGCATATCTTTATTTAATCTGATTGTGACACGCTTTCATGTATGCTGCAATTTATATACGTACTGTTCAAAGCCGCACATATAGCAAGTACAAACTTCCTTGTACGTACTCTGTTACGCACTCAGTGACACTATAGTCGGCAGGCAAAGCGTTCTACTACACGACGGGGAGAAGGCTATGAGCGGGGGCACGGCCTCGCAGGTTCACCGATTTTTGAGTTTGAAGTTGGCGGTTTACTTGTTGGGTTTATTTCCTAATATAGTAAGTATGACTGATCCAGGAAACCCGGATCTGAATAATCTGATATGGAATGTCAGTAAACATTCCATAATCCATAGCTTCAAATGTATACTGCTTTCATATGTAGATTGCCTTCACACAAGGCCTGTTGTATGTACATTTATAGCCCACGTACGACCCGAAGTCTCAACTAGGTCAATCGTAGCTTAAGCGGCCATGGAAGGTGAGTGTCTATATTACAAGGCCTGTTGTATGTACATTTATAGTCCACTTACGACCTGAAGTCTCAACTAGGTCAATCGTGGCTTAAGCGGCCATGGGAGGTGAGTGTCTGTGTTACAAGGTGGGGGAGTTCAGGCCGATATGTACGTTATTGCAACATACATGTATATACCTATAAAAGTTGTTTAGACTTAGCGTCGATGTGTATAAGCAAGAGGGCAAATAAAGATTTTACACGTCGTTTATATGTTGACATAAAGAGTCCTCGGTTCTAATGCCTCCTATTTGACTTGTGAAGACAAAATATATACCCCAAACTAAGGAAGTTAAAGCGTACTATGTAATGCAATGTGTTATTTCTAGTAGTATCGAGAGGTTCTTTGCAAAAACACAATCGAATCGTCTGCTTGCCCTAATGTATATTGTTGGGACACATACCAGGCACAGAGTTCGTCACAATAAGTTCTCAGCAATGTATAGTGCTACCATTACAATGCAGTACACTCATACAATACAACAGATCAAGTCCACACGAAAGCACACGCATACAATACAACAGATGAAGTCTGCACAAAAGCACACACTTACAATACCACAGATCAAGCCCACATGAAAGTCGAGACATACCGCACAACAGAGCAAACCCATACGCGGTGGTATAAGTCCCAAGCCCACTCATACAACACAACAGAAAGCTAATCGACACGCTATATAATGTAGACGGAAACCACACCTTCGTCGATGCATACGGATTCGTAAGGCCGTTGGAAGAGAAGGATGTAATTGATGCTCTCCAGAAGGTAGTGAATACGTATCAACTATGTTTAGGTGTGTGCCTTACATAAGTGTACCTGTCTGTGTGTGTCTTACATAGGTGTACCTGTCTGTTTATACCATTGTTGTCGAAGAATCTATAACCTTGTGTTAGGCGTATATTGTGCATTGCCTGAGGTATTTGCCTTATTTATAGTGGTGCAACCTAATGCTGGTGTTGTATAGCTACACCCCAGTCAACGAGGTCGTCTGCGGGTCAGAGAATGCGCACGTATCACATAGTTTGTTCTTTGCTGTATCGTTATCATGCAGTTATGACACAATCATCGTGCTTGATCAGACACGATTTAAGAATGTTTGTAGAGTATTTAAGAATGTTTGTGGAGTATTGCTTTATAAGTTGCTGGGAAGATCACAACGTTCACGCTTGGTAATATGTTGTGATGCGAACTAGTTGGCAGTATATGGCTTGTCCTCCTTGGACATGATGGTGCACACAATATACGACATACACACCCGATGTTGCAAATTAGGTACACAAGTCAGAAACCGCAAGTGTCCCCTCGTTCCTTGTATATAAGACCTGTATTGCCTTGCCGGTAATGATCATCTTGCAAAGCTAAGACTGCTGCGTTTGTTGTGATCTCATTAGAAAGTAGCCGAACGCGATGCCGCGCGTGCCATCAAATGGAAGAAAGAGAAGCTCTTCGCAGATGTGACCAAGCATGCGTCTATTGACAAGTGTATGTTATATTGTCACACAATGTGTGTTACAGACCTGCAGTACGTCTGGAATAGATGCTGGTAAAGGGCCGCTCGTGGGGTACATTCATTGGTACACTGTGTGCTACAAACACATACTGTATATAACATGCATGCCATACCAGTGCTTGCTAAGAATATACTTTATTGCATATTGTCATGTGGGTGAGTATTGGTTGGAGCGCTGCCATTCTGAATGAACGCCTGTCCCTAGTAACTGCACCATGTCTAAATGAATCATCGCAACTTTGAATGAATGTGCCGTTACCTGCGTTGCACCTGTCCTGATACTCATGGACCGGTGGGAGGACTAATGTCTGTCATGGTTCTCATCACTTGCATGCGTATGTTGCCAATGACTATTGATGCATGCAAGTGCTTGTAAGTATGCACTTTGATCTATCTATTTGTACGCACATTATGTATACTCGATATCAACATGTACGTGCTTGCACATACGCACTTTGGTCTATCTATATATACGCACATTGTAAATATTGAAGATGTATATGGTTGTACAGATGCACTGTATTTTATCTATTCATACGCACATTGTGTATATTCAATACCAACATATCTGTGCTTGTACACATATACTTTGATCATCTTGATATATACACATATATGTGGACTTCAATCCATCTATACAAACCCACATTAAGTATGCCCGTGTATATCGCGGCAACTAGCGTAGGCAATTCGGTACCTACCCACACTCCTTATATGGCTACATCTGTACCACCCACCATCTGGCATCTAGTTATCTGGTCAGTTGCTTGTCTTAGTAGGTGTACTGAACTGACTTTGAGTGACTGTCTGCCTTATACCTCCTACCTAACAGTGAAGCCGCACTGCAGGTTGGGTATACCCTCAACCCTAAGAGGGGATGTCTGGCTGGTAGTGTCGGGAGCGTCCGTTGCCATGGCAACGAACGAGGACAAGTACGCGCAACTGATAGACAGGATGTCTATGATAAACTTCTCCATGAGCAAGCCCATAGAAACCGGTATCTACCAGCTGAACACTGCTTCACCCTTGACAGCTGCGTATTGCTTTACTTGGATGTACGGAACACTGTATGAATGCCTTTCAGGTTGTTTGCATATGTTCGTGGTGCTGTATGCAGCCGTTGATAGTACTGATACTATGAGGTGTTTCGAGCTCATACTTATTCGAGATCTGGCCACTACTAAGTGGCTCGTCTGTCGTTCTCATTTTTCGTCAGTAGGTAAATCCTGGTTCAGGGTTTGTCTACGTTTCATGCGAAAGAACAGCCCTACAGACACCCAGTCGCAATTCAATCCAAGTCGACTCTAAATGTGTAGCGCTACTTCATATAAGGCAAATCATCTTCCGTACTATCCCGTGTTTGTTAATACACGCCACATACTCACCCTTGTGCGTATTGGCAACTCTGTTGATGTACACACCCATTCTCACCCTTGTGCATGTACGCAACTCCGTTGATGTGCACACCCAATCTCACCCTTGTGCATGTACGCAACCCTGTTGATGCACACACCCACTCTTACCCTTGTGCGTATAGGCAACTCTGTTGATGATACACCCATTCTCACCCTTGTGCATGTACGCAACTCTGTTGATGTGTACACCCATTCTCACCCTTGCGCATGTACGCAACTCTGTTAATATGCACACTTATTTCCAGATGTGAGGCGGACATTCCCCAATCACGTGGATTTTGCAGGCGATGGTAGCGACATGGACAAGGTGTGACAATGGCTTTATGTACTGAGCAGCACACGCACCTACAAACCCCTCCCAGAAAAGTCGGGTTGATGATCACACATCCATGTGGTTATCGTAACTCAAACGCACATCAGTTCCCGTATCCGTGTACAGTAGGGGCTAACAGATATACATATGAGTGGTTTAGAGTCAGTGGAGAAGTGAGCAGGAACTTTTGTCACGCCTGCAGCGCAATGGCAGTGCATTCAGACCATCGTACGGTGTATCGTAGCTGCTATTTATGTACATATATAAATTATATATATATATATGTATATATTTATATATATATTTTTAAA